CCAGGAGTTTGAGACCAGCCTGGGCAATGTAGTGAGATCCTGTGTCTTAAAAAAAAAAATCCAAAATATAGAAATTAACTTAAACTGACCAAAGACCTAAATGTCAGAGCTGACCAGGCACCATGCTTCATGCCTGTAATCTCAGCACTTTGGAAGACTGAGGCAGGGGGATTGCTTGAGTTCGGGAGTTCAAGGGCAGCCTGGCAACACCACCACACCTGGCTAATTTTTGTATTATTCGTAGAGATGAAGCCCCATCTCTACAAATAATGCAAAAATTAGCCAGGTGTGGTGGTATGCATCTGAAGTCCAAGCTACTTGGGAGGCTGAGACAGGAGGATCACTTGAGCCCAGGAGGCAGAGGTTGCAGTGAGATCATGCCACTGTACTGCAGCCTGGGCAACAGAGTGACACCCTATCTCCAACAAAACAAAACAAAAAAGGGTAAATCTTTATGACCCTGAATTATGCAGTGATTTATTGAAATCGATGTAGGATTTTTCTTGGACACTTTGCCAGCCAGACTTCCATAGCCAGTGATGTCCCCACCCAGGCTTTGCTTGGGCCCAGGCCTGTCACAGAAGGCACCCTGACCACTCGGCCCACAAGACTGTGCATAGCTTATGCACCAGCTCAGTCCACAGCTGGACCAGGTGTGTCCCAGCCCACCTGTGTTACAGCTCTTACCCACATTCAGTGATTCCTGAGTTCTTGTCCCATCCAAGAAAAATGAGGTTACACTGACAATCAAAAGAGTGAGAAGGACAGAGAAGAGTTTTATTAAGCAATAGAACAGCTCTCAGTGGAGAAGGGATCTGAGGGTGGTCCCCCACCCAAAGTCAAGTGGTATCTCCCTCCGTGTTACTGGGTCCAGGGCCATTATGGGTTCAGAATGGGGTAGTGCGTGCTAGTTGGTTTGTGAGTATGCAAAAGACTAAAACAAAGGCACCATTCAAAAGTGGGCACAACAGTGTAACAATCCAATTCAGGAAGGGCAGGTTTATGTAAAATAGGTGAAGAGTGAGGATCAATCAGAAGAAAGCACACCAAATGGGAAGATAGATTCTCAATCCAGTCTGTGGATTTAACGTGTAGTTTGCCTTTCAGGCTTTAAATTGTCTTTGGCGTGAAGGTGGGATTTCACTGGGGACCTGCCCCTATCTGCCTAGAGATTTGTCTGCCTCCTCTGGCTATCAGAATGACACCAAAACAGAAGCAACTAAATTAAAAACAGATAAATTGAACCTTGCTGAAATGTAAAACTTTAGGGTTTCAAAGGACTCCATTAAGAAAGTGGAAAGATGGAGTAGAGAAAGTATTTGCAAAACATGTATCAGGCTGGGTACAGTGGTTCATACCTATAATCCTAACACTGGGAGGCTGAAGCGAGTGTATTACTTGAAGCCAAGGGTTCTAGACCAACCTGGCCAACATAGTGAAACCCCATCTCAAAAATAAAAAAAAGAAAGAAAAAACAACAAACACAAACAAAAATACCATGTATCTGATAACGGTCTGGTATCCAGAATATATTAAGAATTCTGGATAGACTGGATAGGGAAAATGTGGCACATATACACCATGGAATACTATGCAGCCATAAAAAACGATGAGTTCATGTCCTTTGTAGGGACATGGATGAACCTGGAAACCATCATTCTCAGCAAACTGACACAAGAACAGAAAATCAAACACTGCATGTTCTCACTCATAGGTGGGTGTTGAACAATGAGAACACATGGATGCAGGGAGGGGAGCATCACACACTGTGTCTGTGAGGGGGAACCAGGGGAGGGACAGCGGGGTGTGGGGAGTTGGGGAGTGATAACATGGGGAGAAATGCCAGATATAGGTGATGGGGAGGAAGGCAGCAAACCACATTGCCATGTATATACCTTATGCAACAGTCTTGCATGTTCTTCACATGTACCCCAAAACCTAAAACACAATTTTATATATATATATATATATATATATATACATACATATATATATATATAAAGAATTCCCTGGCCAGGCGCAGTGGCTCATGCCTATCATCCCAGAACTTTGGGAGGCCAAGGTGGGTGGATCACCTGAGGTCAAGAGTTCTAGATGAGCCTGACCGACATGGAGAAACTCCATCTCTACTAAAAATACAAAATTAGCTGGGCATGGTGGTGTGTGCCTGTAATCCCAGCTACTCAGGAGGCTGAGGCAAGAGAATTGCTTGAACCCGGGAGGCAGAGGTTGCAGTGAGCCAAGATCATGCCACTGCACTCCAGCCTGGGCGACAGAGCAAGACTCCATCTCAAAAATAATAATAATAGTAATTCTGGCCAGGTGTGGTGCTTCATGCCTGTAATCCCACACCTCTGCCTTGTGAAGACCTCTCATTCTCCACACCCTACTTACCTTTGGCTATGCTACAATGATTCTTCCTCCTCACCAAAACTGTCCCATTAGATCCTCCACTGTTTTACTCCTTGTCACTGAGTCACTTCACTTACATTCTTGATCACTTAAACTCATTCCTCTAAGAATTTGTCACCTGCCTATGTCAAACTCCATATTTCTGAAAACTTTTACCTCTAGCCCACCCCAGCCACCCACTTCTATAGCTGTCTCCAGGATTTTGCCATCATTTGAAACTGTCCTACCTTCAAAACACCCGTTCAACATCCAGTCTCCATCACCATCCCTCATCTTTCCAGCCTCACTTGGTTGTTCCAAATACACCAGTTATCTGACTTCATCAGAACCTCCAACCCATTGGTAGCTCCACGCTGTCCCAATTCCTTAGCCCTCTCTGGACATTCCATCCCCATCTCTCTTAGATTCTATAGTCCATTATTTCTCCCAACCTCCCTTGTGCCTTTGTCCTGCTATTACATGCACCTGAAAAACCTCAATGCTTGCTGACTGATCAACTACTTTCTCTACTACACAAGTGACTGTTGCCACTGGAGAAAGTCCCACAACAGGGTAGATTAGCACTTCTGTAAATACATTGTCACCAAACTCAGCCAGGCTCTAATCCTGTGCAACCTACTGTTTTTCTAGTTAGCTCACAACTCATTAATGAGACAAGAACCACTCTGAGCTGGGTGAAGTGGCTCACACCTGGGTGAAGTGGCGTACATCCCAGCACTTTGAGAGGCCAAGGCGTGTGGATCACTTGAGGCCAGGAGTTCAAGACCAGCCTGGCAAAAATAGTGAAACCCCATTTCCATTAAAAATACAAAAAATTAGCTGGGCATGGTGGTGCCTGCCTGTAATCCCAGCTACTCATGAGGCTGAGGAACGAGAATCATTTGAACCTGGGAGAGGGAGGCTACAGTGAGCTGAGATCACCCCACTGCACTCTAGCCCAGGCAACTGAGTGAGACTCTGCCTCAAAAAAAAAAAAAAAAAAAAAAAAAAAAAAAAAAAAAAAAAAAAAAAAAAAAAAAAAAAAAAAAAAAAAAAAAAAAAAAAAAAAAAAAAAAAAAAAAAAAAAAAAAAAAAAAAAAAAGAACCACTCTGAAAAATGCCTCAGATAATGTATGTTTTATTTTTATTTTTGAGACAGGGACTTGCTTTGTCACCCAGGCTGGAGTGCAGTTGCACAATCTCAATTCACTGCAATCTCTGCTTCCCAGGTTCAAACAATCCTCCCACTTCAACTCACCAAGTAGCTGGGATTACAAGCATGTCCTACTGTGCCCGGCTAATTTTTGTATTTTTTATAGAGACAGTTTCCCCATGTTTTCACTCACCAGACTGCAAAGATATACACAGAGCAACAGGCAAAATCCTCAGAATGTTGCATTAGTACTGGGGCAACTAGCCCTAGAAAAGTGGCAGCTCTGCCTAGCTTAAAAAATAGCTTCAAAAAGTAGGCCTCAAAGGGATTCAAGTAAATTCAAGCCAGGGGGGAAAAGAAGGTCAATACTATTTAAAGGAATAAAACAAAATCCAGCAACCAACAATGTAAATTCATAATGTCTGGTATCCAGTTTAAAAAAAAATCAGCCAATCTCTGGGAGAAAAAAAACTCAGTTGATATGGATCCCAAAATGACCAAATATTAAGGAAGTGGCATCTAAGGATGCTAAAACAGCCATTATAAATATGCTTTTAAATAAGTTGTAAATTCAGTGGTTCATGTGCAGGTTTCTTATCTAGGTAAACTCATGTCACTAGGGTTTATTGTACAGATTATTTCATCTCCCAGGTCTTTAGCCTAGTACCTATTATTTTTCCTGATCCTCTCCCTCCTCCTACCCTCACCCCAATGTGTGTTGTTCCCCTCTATGTGTCCATATGTTCTCATAATTTAGCTCCCACTAAGTGAGAACATGTGGTATTTGGTTTTCTGTTCTTGCATTAGTTTGCTAAGGATAATAGCCTCCAGCTCCATCCACGTTCCTGAAACGGACGTGGCCTCATTCTTTTTTATGACTGTATAGTACTTCATGGTGTACATGTATCACATTTTCTTTAGTCAGTCTACCATTGATGGGTATCCTGGGTTGATTCCATGTCTGTTATTGTGAATAGTACTGCAATAAACATATGTGTGCATGTGTCTTTATGAAAGAACGATCTCTATGCCTTTGGGTATCTATCTAGTAATGGGATTGTTGGGTCAAATGGTAGTTCTGTTTTTAGGTCTTTGAGGAATTGCCACACTGCTTTCCACAATGGTCGAACTACTTTACTCTCACCAACAGTGTATAAGCTTTTCTCCCCAACCTTGCCAGCATCTTTTTTTCTTTGATCGTTTTTTTAATAAAGATAGGGGTCTCATTATGTTGGTTGGTTTGGTCCTGAACTCTTGGCCTCAAGCAATCCTCCCAACTCACCCTACCAAAGTGCTAGGATTACAGGTGTGATCTACTGCACCTGGCCTATTTTTTTTTTCTTTTTACACCTTTTTTACATTTTTTTTTGTTTCAGAAAGAATGGCCTATTTTTGACTTTTTAGTGATAGCCATTCTGACTGGTGTGAGATGGCATCTCATTGTGGTTTTGATTCGAAAAACATGAAATGTCTCATAAATTTGCATGTCATCCTTGCACAGGGGCCATGCTAATCTTGTCTGTATCATTTCAATTTTAGTATATGTGCTGCTGAAGGGAGCACTAAATATGTTTTTTTATGCCCAAGAAGATAGAGGAAAAACATGAGCATAAAGGGAAAAATCGAAGATTAAAAATGATCCAGATGGAATGTCTAGAGATGAAAAATACAACATCTAAAATGAAAAATATACTGAATGGAATAGCAGATTAGATGCTACAGAAGAAAAGATCAAGGAACTTTAAGACATCTAAAATGAAGCAGGGAAAGAAAAGACTGAGGCCGGGCATGGTGGCTCATGCCTATAACCCTAGAACTTTGGGATACTGAGGTGGATGCATCACCTGATGTCAGGAGTTTGAGAGCAGCCTGGCCCACATAATAAAACACTGTCTCTACTAAAAATACAAAAATTAGCCAGTATGGTGGTAAACCTGTAGTCCCAGCTACTTGGGAGGCTGAGGCATGAGAATCACTTGAACCCGGGAGGCAGAAGTTGGTGTGAGCCAAGATTGTGCCACTGCACTCCAGCACGGACGACAGAACAAGACTCAGTCTCAAAAAGGAAAAGAAAAAAAAAAAAAAGAAGACTGAAAAAAATGAACAGGGCATCAGTGATCTGAGGGACAATATCAACTGGCCCATCATATAGGCAGACTGTGTCAGAAATAGAAGATGGAAGAGAACCCCAAAATTTGACAAAACAGTGGCCAAATTTTTTCAAAATTTTATTAAGACTATAACCATTTAGATTGAAAAAGTTCAATAAATCCCAAACAGAACAAAGGTGAGTTGAAAGCCATACAAAACCAATCACTTTATTTAAGAACAGATACAGTATGTGATAAAAACAATAAATAGCTAAGGCAAGATTAATCAAAATTCAGTATAGTGGTTACCTCTGCAGAGAAGGATGGAGAACTCAAAGCTTTAAATGTATTAGTAAATTATTTTTTCCCCTTTTTAATTTCATTTTTTATAGAGACAAGGTCTCGCTGGTCTCAAGCTCCTGGCCTCAAGTCATCATCCACAGGATTCACGGAATCTAGTAGAGAGTTCACAGGTCTTTTTTGAGACGGAGTCTCGCTCAGTCACCCAGGCCGGAGTGCAGTGGTGCAATCTTAGCTCACTGCAGCCTCCGCCTCCCAGGTTCAAGCGATTATTCATCTCAGCCTCCCGAGTAGCTGAGATTAGAGGCACCCACCATCATGCCCGGCTAATGTTTGTAGAGAGATGGGGCTTCACCATGTTGGCCAGGCTGGTCTCAAACCTCTAACCTCAAGTGATCCACCTGCCTCAGCCTCCCAAAGTGCTGGGATTACAGGCATGAGGCACGGCGCCCAGCCCACTTTGTGCATTTCTGGTAACATCCCTCCTCCACTAGACCGTGACCTCCACAAGGGCAGGAGCCTGTTTGCCCACGGTTACAGTGCACATCATATACCCTTCATCACTCTGATGCTCTCCACATCCATTTCCTGGTGAAAGCACTAGATCAAAAACAGGCCTCTCATCTTACATTCCTGCAAGAAACAATTTGGTCTACTGACCCTATCCACGAGGCTGTGTGTGAGCCAGGTGGGCTGGGTAACAGAGATCAGCCCCAGCCCAGTGAACCCAAGATGGCCTGCTCCCTGGAAGGGATCAGGTGCCCTGGGAGAAATGGAAGAAAATGAGTACACAAGACCTCAAACTGGGGCTAGTGAATGGTCATAAATGAGCCCCTTCTGCCCCTGTTCTTTTAATCATGTCCACTCCCCTCACTTGGGAGCTTGGATGGAGGGCACCTGGATGTCCATCCCAGGTATACTGAGGTCACTAGTAACACAGATCAAGGTAGTGAAGTAGTGCAGGGTCAGGGTAGGGGTGGGGGGTCAGAGTAGGGGTAGGAGACCAGGGGCAGGCACAGCCAAGGCTGTGTGGCTTTCCCAGGGCCCATATAAGCTTGAGTCTGCAGAGGTCCAGCTTCTCTCCTTGGCAGCACTGGGCACATTCATAAATGTTTTCTATGAGCTTTCTGCTCTACAGAGGCAGGTTGCCTTCATGCACCTCTGAATCCTTACTGTCTATGCCAGTTTCCAGAAGATAGAGACATGTCCAGTGGCATATGTCCAAGAAATGGGAGGTGCAGCTAACCCCCATGAGTCCTTCGGGTCTGACGGAGGCACCTCCACCGAAGTGTTTCTTCTCTGACACATCCTTTAGTTATCTCCTTATTCCTCGCCATGGGTCTCCACAGCCTTGGTGCGTTCAGTATTGAAGGCTCAAAAAACATTTGCTGAATGAATATAGAAGTTCAAGACTGCCTTTCCTCTGAGCAGTTGTGTGGTCCAGTGTTTTCTGCCTGGAATCCTCTCCTTCTTCATTCACCTGTTTAGTTTATTTCAAAATTTGAGTGATAACTATGTGTTTGTTACACCCTTACTGGACCCAGGGGTTACCTCCTCCAGAAAGCCTTTCTGACGCTCCCATTTAGGGGCTCCTCTTCCCCATGGCCACTGTACTGAGGCGGACCTCTGAGCCCCCAGATCAAGACAGTCTCTTGAGCACAGAAACCAGCTCTGTTTCATCTTTCCGTGCTCGGCACCAGCCTGGGTTCAGGAAACACCCATAGAAGGCACCATCTTCTTAGGGAAGAGACCACCTCTGGGGCACAGATCCTGGTTGGGATTATAGCTTTATACTTGATAGCTTGGCCAAGATCCTTTCTCTTTTTCAGTTTGCTGCAGTAAAATGGCCTGCTGAGTCTAGATATGAGATTCTAAACTACCTGGCTATCAGGATAGTCATTATCATCCCCTTGACCCCAAGGGAGAGCAGGGAAAGAGAGGCCACTTAATATCTGGTGCTTGGTAGTCCAGGGACCTAAGGAAGGTGGGAGGAGCAGAATACAGTGAGATTCTTCCTTATCTGCCCCAGTCTTAGATCTTCCTTTCCCTCCTAGCCCTCAGTCACCTAGAAAACAGAGCCTGAAAACAAGAACTAGGAATTGGTGTTTTATTTGGAGAGGTGCAAACCCAAGGCTTTGGAAATGAGAAAATGGAAGAAAGGCAGAATGGGAAGTAATGCGAGGTGATGTATTAGCAGGCCAGGGACTGCTTCATGACAAGCCTTACGGAGGACACAGCAGTTGTGTCCACCAGCTACTTGGGAGGTCTCCCCATTGATGGTACTGCTTTGGAGAAGTGGTGCCATGCAACAATTCATGAAAGGGAGAGGAAAAGGGGGAATTTATCTGCCTGAGTCTAACCAATCTCCATTTTCCACTAGTTATATTTCATCCCATAAATATTAACTCCCAGCCTGACACCATGGCTTATGCCTGTAGTCCCAGCATTTTGGGAGGCTGAGGCAGGTATTTCACTTGAGGCCAGGAGTTTGAGATCAGCCTGGCCAACATGGTGAAATCCCATCTCTACGAAAAATACAAAAATAAACCAGGTGTGATGGCACCTGCCTGTAATCGCAGCTACTAGGGAGGCTGAGGCAGAAGAATCGCTTGAACCTGGGAGGCAGAGGTTGCAGTGAGCTGAGATCGCGCCACTGCACTCCACCCTGGGTGACAGGGCAAGACTGTCTCAAATAAACAAGTTTCCCCATACTTCTAAGTTTGCTAGCAGCAACTTGGGATCCAGATCCCATGCCCTGTGCTAGGCCACTCCATCCAAGTGTGTGAAGTGGTGGGAAGAAACAGAAACTCTGGGTACGTGGCCAGTGAGTGCCAGGGAGAACCTGATGCATTATATGTGCCATGTCCAGTATAGTCCAAAACTGCTTTTTTCATTTTCTGGAAGAAGAAACAAGGCATAGTGATCTGAGACCTTTCCCAAGGTCACATGGCTATTCAGTGGCAAATTCAGCATTGGAAAATAATCTGGTTCTGGAAACTGGATTTTGTTTGGCAGGCAAAGGAGTCACTAAAGGGTTTTAAGCTGGGGAGCAACAAGAAATAAAGAACTTTTTTGTTTGTTTGTTTGTTTGCTTTGTTTTTAGATGGAATCACACTCTGTCATCCAGGCTGGAGTCAGCGGCATGATCTTGGCTCACTGCAATCTCTGCCTCCTAGGTTCAAGTGATTCTCCTGCCTCAGCCTCCTGAGTAGCTGGGATTACAGGTGTGAGCCACTGCCCCCCAGCCAATAAAGAGCTTTTTTCACCCCCCAAGATGGAGTTTCACTCTTGCGGCCCAGGGGAGAAGATCTTAGACAGCAGAGGCAGGCAGGAGCTGTGCAGAAAAGCTGGAATGAGGAGACTGACCTAAGGACCAGGAGCAGGAGCACTGTCCTGCTCTCCACTGTTGGCCTGTGGGTCTGAGGGTCCTGGCCGATGAGTCTTCTGGTGTTGCCTAAGATGGTCAGATCGCATGAACTCTCTGTTGCACTGATCACATTTATATGGTCGATATCTGGTATGTACCCGAAAATGTCGTCTAAGCTCGTCAGAACGGAAGAAAGACCACTGACAATTTTCCCATTCGCACGAATAGGGCCTCTCACCTGGGAATGACAAGGGAGAAAGGGAATTTAGAATAGAAGTAGGAAGGGGTCTGACTCTATGAGGCAGAGCCGTCCAGGTTGAGGATTCAAAAGGGAAGGTCCAGGGAACCAGGGAGGGGCAATGTATTCAGGAGTGCCCGCCCAGGTATCTTGGCACAGTCCTCCCGGATGGCAAGTCAGGGGGCCAGTCTAGCTTAGCTCCAAGCTTGGAAGATGAAAGACTCATCCCAAACAATTACCCACCAGGGGCCCAGGACAAATGTAAACCCCAGAGACTCCTCCGTCTCCACCCCACCTGACACCTCCTTCACCTGTGTGCTTGCGCTGGTGGCTCACGAGGTGGGAGCGTTTGGTATAAGCTTTTCCACAGTTCTGGTAGTTGCAGCAGTAAGGCCTGGCCTCTGAGGAGTCCCCTCTCCCAGTCCTTTCCTGAGGCCTGGAGTTCTGCTCTGTTTCCTGTGAAGCAGGTGTGGGCTGCTTCTGTGGGAATGGGCCTTCCTGGGAGTCTGGCTGACTCACAAGAGAGTCCTGAGATCCTAAACCCAGGAATGACTGGGACTCAGCTGGGGGCATCCCAAGGTCATGGGTGTCTTGTCGGGGCAACATCTGAGCCACAGAGGGGAGCACTGCCTGGGCCTCCGTGGGTGGCATGGTTGGGGCCAATGCTGTTTCATCAGAAGGTGCTGTTGAGAGGCCAGGGTAAGGCATGGTAGGGCCCCCAGCATGGGACATCATTGGGATTCCAGTGGAAGCCGAGACTCGCAGCCCACTGGGGTGCATGCTTAGATTGCCACTGAAGGCCCCGGCCACTCCTGGAATATTGGGCTCAACTGTAGGCATTATCTGAGGCTCATTGAACATCGTCATCCCTTGCTGAGGGGGAGACACTCCCTGACTGTAAATCACCCGGGAAGGAGGGAGGGTCGCTTGGGGGCAGTAGCTCACATCACGCTCAGGCAGTGCCATGCTAAACAGGGGCCCCTCTTCATCCACATTGTGCCCCGGCACCTCCACAGACACCAAGGGGGGCCCCAGCATCTCTGTGCTATGAGGAAAGTGCTGAACGCTTGGTAGGCCATGGTTCCAAGAGGGGTGCACTCCAGAGCTTCCGGTAGATGAAGCCACGTTCAAGATGGGCGCCGAGCTCTCGTTATCCTTGGGGAGAGAGACAGTCAAGTGATTTTTACCCTTGCTCAAATTCCAGTTCCATATGTTCCTCCTCTTCATCCCCAGACCCCATCCTAATCCAGCCCTCTATCTCCGTCTCTTGCTTGAATTCTCCTGCCTCCAACCATTTTCCAGCTTGGCCTTTCTAATAGGTCCGGCTGATACAAGCCCCAAGGAAGCCTAAATGTAACTCATGCCACTTTCCCTCGGACATGTTTTTTGCTTTTTATTACATGCAAAGCAACAAAGAGAGCAAATAAAACATCCCATAACCTACACCTTCAGCAAAACTCTGAGATAATGTTCAAACTCTAAATATTGAGGCAGAGTTTTGCTCTTGGTGCCCAGGCTGGAGTGCAGTGGTGTGATCTCGGCTCACACAACCTCCATCTCCAGGTTCAAGCGATTCTCCTGTCTTAGCCTCCCAAGTAGCTGGGATTACAGGCATGTGCCACCACACCCGGCTGATTTTGTATTTTTAGTACAAACAGCTTTCTCCATGTTAGTCAGGCTGGTCTCAAACACCTGACCTCAGGTGATCTGCCTGCCTCGGCCTCCCAAAGTGCTGGGATTACAGGCGTGAGCGACTGTGCCCAGCCCGAACTCCAAATTGTACATAAAAGGGATAGGGGTTGTCTGGAAGTCAGGTGCAATATCCCTTGATGACTTGCATGAAGGATAAGAAAGATTGGTAGTAGAAGGTCTTAAAATAGGATAGGAGCCAAGAATCATATTTTTAAAACTGTCAGTAGGCCAGGTGCAGTGGCTCACAACTGTGTAATCCCAGCACTCTGAAAGGCCAAGGCAGGTGGATTGATTGAGCTCAGAAGTTTCAAAAAGGAAAAACAAATCAGCTGAGTGTGGTGGCATGTGCCTGTAGTCCCAGCTACTGGGGAGGCTGAAGCAGGAGAATCACTTGAGCCCAGGAGGCGTAGGTTGCAGTGAGCTGAGATCGGGCCATTGCACTCCAGTCTGTGCTGACAGAGACCCTGTCTCAAAAAAAACAAGCAACAACAACAACAAAAGTACCCAGCCGGGCACGGTGGCTCATGCCTATAATCCCAACAATTTGGGAGGCCAAGGCAGGTGGATCATGAGATCAGGAGTTCAAGACCAGCCTGGCCAAGATGGTAAAATCCCATCTCTACTAAAAATACGAAACTTAGCTGGGCATGGTGGCGCATGCCTGTAGTCCCAGCTACTCGGGAGACCGGGGCAGAGAATTGCTTGAACCCAGGAGGCAGAGGTTGCAGTGAGCCAAGATCATGCCACTGCACTCCGGCCTGGTGACAGAGTGAGACTGTCTCAAAAAAACAAAACAAAACAAACAAAAAAAACCCCCAAAGTATCCATAAGATACCAAACTATCAAGACAAATTGAAGATTGCAATTTTTTTCAAAAAATATCACCAGAAAATTGTCGTACAAATCAAGGGTAAACGTAACAACATTCAAACACAAGAAAGAAAGAAAGAGAGAGAGAAAGAGAGAAAGAAAAAGAGAAAGAGAAAGAAAGAAAGAGAGAAGGAAAGAGAAAGAAGAGAGAGAGAGAGAGAGAGAGAGAGAGAAGGCCGGGCGCGGTGGCTCAAGCCTGTAATCCCAGCACTTTGGGAGGCCGAGGCGGGTGGATCACGAGGTCAAGAGATCGAGACCATCCTGGTCAACATGGTGAAACCCCGTCTCTACTAAAAATACAAAAAATTAGCTGGGCATGGTGGCGCGTGCCTGTAATCCCAGCTACTCAGGAGGCTGAGGCAGGAGAATTGCCTGAGCCCAGGAGGCGGAGGTTGCGGTGAGCCGAGATCGCGCCATTGCACTCCAGCCTGGGTAACGAGCGAAACTCCGTCTCAAAAAAAAAAAAGAAAAGAGAGAGAGAGAGAAAGAAAGAAAGAAAGAGGCCCGGTGCAGTGGCTCATGCCTGTAATCCCAGCACCCAGCACTTTGGGAGGCCAAGGTGAGTGGATCACTGAGGTCAGGAGTTCAAGACCATCCTAGCCAACATGGTGAAACCCCGTCTCTACTAAAAATACAAAAATTAGCTGGGCGTGGTGGCACATGCCTGCAGCCCCAGCTACTCAGGAGGCTGAGGCAGGAGAAACGCTTGAAACTGTGGAGGTTGCAGTGAGCTGAGATTGCACCACTGCACTCCAGCTTGGGCAGTTGAGTGAGACTTCATCAAAAAAAGAAAGAAAAGGAAAGAAGAAAAGAAAGGAAGAGAAGGGAAGGGAAGAGGAAGAGGAAGGAAGGAAAGAAGGCAAAACTTAAAAGCAATTACAGCTTTTGCAGCAAAGTTACAGGAACATCACAGGTCAGAAATAAAGAAATTCAAATAAGTTACATCCAGAAAACAGGATAGGAATTATATTAGAGAGTAAGGGGATGGGGCAAAGGTGAGAAAGGCGCACTGGAGGAGCTTCTATTTCTTGACCTGAGTCATAGTTTCACAGGTTTTTACTTTATAAGAGTTCATTACTTTGTGGAAGCTGTACTTATATTCACTTTTCTGTTTGAGTGCTATTTTTAGTAATATGGTTTAAAATAAGTTAGAGTTGCTGGGCATGGTGACTCATGCCTATGATCCTAGCTCTTTGGGAGGCCCAGGTGGGAGGATCGCTTGAGGCCAGGCCTGAGCAACCTAGGGAATCATCACCTCTACAAATAAAAAAAAAACTAGCCAGGGATGGTAGCATACACCTGTGGTCCCAGCCACTCAAGAGGCTGAAATGGAAAAGATCACTTGAGCCTGGGAGGTCAAAGCTGCAGGGAACTGCGATCACATCACTGCAGTCCAGCCTGGGTGACAGAATCTCAAAAAAAAAAAATAATAATGCTAAATTTAAATAGAAAATATTCTATACAAATTCACAATCTGTGTGTGTATATATATATATATGTATATATATACACATATATATATATACATATTCTAACTCTGTCCATTAGAAATTGTGACTCTAATAACAATGCATGGTGGCTCATACCTGTAATCCCAGCACTTTGGGAGGCCAAAGAGGGTGGATCACAAGGTCAAGAGATCAAGACCATCCTGGCCAACATGGTGAAACCCCATTTCTACTAAAAATACAAAAATTAGCTGTGCATGGTGGCGCACGCCTGTAGTCTCAGCTACTCAGGAGGCTGAGGCAGGAGAATCACTTGAACCAGGAAGGCAGAGGTTGCTGTGAGCCAAGATTGTGCCACTGCACTCCAGCCTGGTGACAGAGTGAGACTCGGTCTCAAAAAAATTACAATGCGTGCCTCTAGAGCTTAGACTTGTCTCTAATTCTATTCCTTGCTAAAAGTTAGACCAAGAATTTCCTGACTCCAAGACTGAGAAAAAAAAGGAAGGTTGAAGGGAGCCTGGTACATTTTGTGCCAGAAAATAAGGGAGCTTTCAAAGGTTAGGACTGGGTCAAAGGAGGCAGGAAGTGACATCAAGGAAGATGGCAGGGTAGGAAGCACCAGGACCCCGTATCACCAACATGATAACTATCGCACTGGCAGCATGTCTGCTGTAAGTTGTTTGGAACAATGCAGAGTATTAAAGGCTTGTAACTTCCAAGGGAAGGCTTTGAGAGTAAGTTGTAGTTAATTTTGGTCAACCTAAACTCTTAGGTAGGTAATGGCTACCCATACACACCCTATGTTCCTGGAGCAACTTACATGCAGCTTGCAGGAGCCAGAGTGGGCAATAAAAACCTTGTCCTCCAACTATTGGGGATCTATGTCCTGATTGTTATTTGCTGTTTCTGATTATGAGGTGCAGACAGAGGTAGACAGCCATTGTTGCAACTCAGCCCCCAATGTTACAACCCCCACCCCTTCCCACTCAAGAGACTTCCAAATATGAATACAAACATTCCAAGTGGCTCAACACAATTCAAGTAAGATAAACTCCCAGACACATACCAAGAAACATTATAATAAAACTGTTGAAAGCCCAAGACAAAGAGAGAATCTTGAAAATATCAAGAAGTGACTCATCACTTATAGGGGATCCCCAAAATTCCCAGTAGCTCTTTCATCAAAAACCTTGGACACTAAAAGACCACAGGTTGATATATTCAAAGTGCTAAAGGAAAAACATAAAACTATCAACCAACCTATATCTGGCAAAACTGTCTTTCCAAAATGAGGAAGAAATTAGACATTCCCAGATAAACAAAAGCTGAGAGGTCATTACCACTAGACATGCCCTGCAAGAAATGCTAATGGCAGTCCTTCAGGTTGAAAGGAAATGCTAGGCAGTAGCTTGAAGCCATGTGAAGAAATCTGTCATAAGAAAAATTTCTGATAAGGGTAAATATATGGACAATTGTAAAAGTGAGTATTATTATAACTTTGATTGATAACTCTACTTTTGTTTCCTACATGATTTAAAAGTGCATTAAAATTTATACTTTTATTTTTTGACATACAATGCATACAAATGTAATTTTGTGAGATCAGTCACTGAAAAAAGGTGGGAACTGAGCTATACAGAGGCAGTTTTTATGTGCTGTTGAAGTTAACCTGGTATAAATTCAAATCAGAATGTTATAACTAGGATGTCAAATGTGATCCTCATGGCAACCACAAAGAAAATAGCTAGAGAGGAACATATACAAAAGGGGCCAGGCACAGTGGCTCACGCCTGTAATCCCAGCACTTTGGGAGCCTAAGGTGGGTGGATCACTTAAGGTCAGGAGTTTGAGACCAGCCTGGCCAATGAGGTGAAACACCATCTACTAAAAACACAAAAATTAGCTGGGTGAAGTCCCAGCTACTGGGGAGGCTGAGGCAAGAGAATCACTTGAACCAGGAGGTGAAGGTTGCAGTCAGCTGAGATCGAGCCATTACACGCCAGCCTGGGCGACAGAGGGAGACTACGTCTCAAAAAAATAAAGAATATATACAAAAGGAAATTGTGTTCTAAGGAAATCTAAGTTTCACTGTCAAAAAAAGAGATCAATTAAACAAAAGGACAATGCTGGAAATGAGGAACAAAACGGCAGAATTAAATCCCTCCTCGCGAGTAAAATACTTTGGAAAGTAAATGAATAATACTTTCCAAAAGACAAATTGGCAGAATGGATTTAAAACATGATCCAAATATATGCTGTGTATATATTTAGATCCAAACACCACAATAAACCAACTAGATCTAGGCCGGGTGCGGTGGCTCACGCCTGTAATCCCAGCACTTTGGGAGGCCGAGGCGGGTGGATCACGAGGTCAAGAGATCGAGACCATCCTGGTCAACATGGTGAAACCCCGTCTCTACTA